GAGGGAAGAGGAGAGGAGAGGATAGGAAGAGGAGAGGAGAGGAGAGGGAAGAGGAGAGGAGAGGATAGGAAGAGGAGAGGAGAGGACAGGGAAGAGGAGAGGAGAGGGAAGAGGAGAGGAGAGGGAAGAGGAGAGGAAAAGAAAGGAAAAGGAAAGAAAAGAAAAAAGAACTTGGGAAAACAAAAACTAGACCCCTGTTTCTAATCCCTCCTTGAGTGATACTAGTTAAACCAAACAATGAGAGGATGTATGGAAAAAATCAAGGGTGGTGAAGAGATAGGCTGCTAATGGTCTCCTGACTAGAAAAGAATATAAAATTTCTACAGTAGGGACGGGGCACACAGTCTTTCAGAAAGCAGAAACTCTCCAGTACACCAGTCATAACCTTTATCTACTCTTTCTCCAACACCCCCAAAAGCTGCTTGGCCTTTTGAAGGCCTCAGAACTTTGTGCCAAAGTACCTTGAGACTCACTTAGGAAGTGTTTTTCTTTATAGTTCAATTTAGACAGCAACCTTTACTGAGTACCTACCATGTGCCTTGCCCTTTCAGAACTTGATTTTGACCAAAGAGAACATACACACAATTCCAATAAAATATAGTGAGACTTATCAGTACAAGAGAACTGAATCTTATCTGAGATTGCGATTGCCTTGACATTACCGTTATATAAAATGAATCTTAATTTACAAACACCATGAGGACAAAGTGCACACTGTTTCTTCAAGTCATGTAATTCTGAATTATGCTTCTCTCCCTTCATTGATGCCTGTTAGTTTGTGGGGAGTTAAAGTTATTAATTGAAACCATTTTATTAGTTTCTCACCCATTGTCATGAAATTTTATAGTTAGCATTAATTTTTTTTTAAAGCATACAAGTTGAGACAAAGATATCCCTTTTAAAAAACCAACATTGCCACAGTCATTTCACTTATTAAAAATGGAGGGTTCAAATTTAATGTACAGAATACTAAAGGAACAAATGATGAATCTGAGTTTAACCTGTTTGCTAAGCTGACAGGTGAGATTATGTACACACTTAGAAACAACAGCTGTTCTGAATGAACAGTTGTCGTGGAATCATTGCTTCATTTCGACTCTGCCTAATCACTCACTTTTGGCTACATGCAGATTTAAGAGTACTGTGCAAAATCATCAACTGATTTTAAAGCCTTCTTTTCTTTTTCATTAATGCACTCTTTCCTAAGATTGTTAAGCAGAAGTAATAATCAGGTGCTTACCTCAGGCTGTCTTTACAGTTTGTCTTAAAGCAGAAAGGGATACACTTCTGCAGCCTTTTGGAGTGAGAGAAAGAGATTCAGGCTTCTCTCCTCTAAAAGGACTGTGAGTAAAGGGAAGAGTCAGGACAAGTCAAGAACTCCCTACCACCCTGCTGGATATCCCAGAAAACTACAGAAACCACACAGAGATCTGCATTGCTTCCTTTTCCTCTGATAGAATGAAAAGCCACTTAGCAGGCCAGGCGCAGTGCCTCATGCCTGTAATCCCAGCATTTTGGGAGGCCAAGGTGGGCAGATCACAAGGTCAGGAGTTCGAAACCAGCCTGGCCAATATGGTGAAACCCTGTCTCTACTAAAAAAAAAAAAAAAGTAAATAGAAAAATTAGCCAGCATGGTGGCGTGCACCTATAGTGCCAGCTACTCAGGAGGTTGGGGCAGGAGAATTGCTTGAATCCAGGAGATGGAGGTTGCATTGAGCCAAGATTGCAGCACTGCACTCAAGCCTGGGCAACAGAGCAAAACTCCATCTCAAAAAAAAAAAAAAAAGAAAAGAAAAGAAAAGCCACTGCCTGGAACCACATTCCAGAGTTGCAAATAAATTTTATAAAAGAAAAATATAAGTGAATTTTTGGTCTTTTAATTTAACACATTATAATAGCAAAATGTAACTATATTTTTATATTTCAGCTAAAAGCAACTGGGCAAAATGACCCTGAGAATTTTCTGTGCCTCTACTCTTAAGAACTAAATCTGGGCCGGCTGGGCATGGTGGCTCACGCCTGTTAATTACAGGACTTTGGAAGGCCAAGGCGGGCGGATCACCTGAGGCCAGGAGTTCGAGACCAGCCTGGCCAACATGGTGAAACCCCGTCTCTACTAAAAAAGAAAAATAATAATAATACAAAAAATTAGCCGGATGTGGTGCCATGTGCCTATAGTCCCAACTACACGGAGGCTGAGGCATGAGAACCACTGGGAGTCTGGTAGGCAAAGGTTGCAGTGAGCTGAGATCACACCACTGCACTCCAGCCTGGGCGACGGTGAGACTGTCTCAAAACAAAACAAAAAAATACAGTATACTTGAAGGGAAGAAATTATTAAGTAGCATCTTCTGAAAGTTTACTTTTTTCAAAAATACTATTTGTGCAGTACTTTATTCAATTAAACAATGTTGAACTCCAGAAAAATGAGTTAGTTTTTTTGGTGGTTGTTTTTATAACTTTGAAGCAGAAGATAAAAATAAACCCACATTCTATTGCTTTTTCTTTTAGGAACACATGATTCTGTGCAGATTTGCAGACCAGACAGCTGTCCAGCTCCCACCCCAACGAAGGCTCATAGGTATGTGTTTTCACAGAGCAGCTGTTGAGTGTATTATGCACAATATGACTGGGAATGATTGGACCAAGTCTATATGGGAAAAATTTAGCAACATGAAGTCTATTTTTCAATGAGAAACTAAATATGTTCTTCCCCCCAAAACTGAATTCATATTGAAAACGGTATTGTAACTATAACATTTTATCCTATTTTGGTTAACTTTAATACTTTTAAATGTATTTTGAATGTTTGTACATTGAGTAGAATTCTTACATTAAATCTCTTATTGTTATGAACAAACTGCAAGATCTATCAAAAGCCATGAAAGAAAATAATAAAGATTAAAAAGTCAACTATATACACCAAAATTGATGCATTATAAAATGTATACACAGGGATGATAATGTTTTCTTTCTCAGGAAAAAGGATACTTGTGTATCATTTATCATAGACCAATTTGTTTGACAATATTAAACATTACCTAAATTGGAAGACCACAGAAACATTTCAAGTTTAATAAGTAATTGATTTATTGAAGACTTCATTTTAGAAAAAGAAATCACATTTAAAAGAATAATAGCAGTTAATAGTTATACATTTAAGCACTGAGATAAATGTTCTCGCCTGTTATCTCAGTAAATTCTTACAAATATACATATGGGGTAGTACTATTATTTACATTTTAATGATAAGAAAACTGAGACAAAAGCTTGCCTGGGGTCCTTCATCTGGTAGATGATGGAGCTATACTATGAACCCAAATTATTTGATTCTGGACATGAAGTTCTTGTCTACTTTAGTTACTACTTCCCAGCATACTGGTGTCACATCAGGGTTTAAGATAAGTGGGTTCAGCCAAAACTAATCTTAAAATTATTCAGAGAAGCCCAACATTGGACACCATTATATTTTTTCTCTAAATTTCCAGTGTAGCCCCTTTTCCTCCATGATATACTAGAAGACAGATTGTTGTTTCTTTGGCTGAGCACCATATGCAGCTGTTAGCTTACATTCAGAGACCAAGTTGTATGAGAAATAGTTATCTTTAAACTCTAAAATCAAAGGCAGCATAGCAAGATGCTCACACTTGGTGACCTGAGACCTGAGACTGAAGGAGTAAGTGATTCCTTCTCTTTCTCACTGTCTGCAGCATAAACATTTGGAAAGAACTCATTCTCTCCTGCCTGCAACCTCTGTCTTTCAATGCCTTTCCTTCTTGCTCCTCCTTTTCCCATCTCCAACACTTTGAATTAATCGAACATACATTTGAGAATTAATCGAACATACATTTGATGAGACTCCATTCACTAGACCCATGTCTTAGTCTGTTTTGCACTGCTATAACACAGTACCATAGACTGGGTAATTTAGAATGAACAGATTTTTATTTGACTCACATTTCTGGAGGCTAGGAAATCCAAGATCAAGGGGTTGGCATCTGGTGAGGGTCTTCTTCCTGCATCATAACATGATGAAAGGCATCACATGGCGAGAGAGAGAGAGCAAGAGAAGGCTGAACTTGTCCTTTTATAAGGAGCTCACACTCTAGATAATGAACCCACTACCATGATAATGGTATTAATTCATTCACTTCACCCTCTTGGCCTAATCACCTCACATTAGGCCCCACTTCCTAACACTATTGCATTGGGGATTCAATTTCCAACACATGCTTTCCAGAGAATACATTCAAATGATAGCAATCCAATGAAGACATATTAGTGTGGTGGATGGATGGGTACGTGGTAGATGTGTGTCTTAGGTATCAAACTAAAGGGGAGTAGCTGGCAGGGAAGTTGCTAGAGTGGCGGGGGGCAGGGGCTTTTGGCAATGGGAAGAACAGGGGGAATCACATTGAGAGAAAGCTGTCACGTCTACATCTCTGCTTTACACAGGCCATTCCTGTGTTCTGCAAACATTTTTAGGAAACTCCCCAGGCCCACAAAGGTAGACTACCAGCAGCTAAATTTCAGTTGTAGAGACACTTCAACATGTGAAAACATGAAATTCTTCTACATAATGGAAAAGGAAAAATTAACTGGACTGGGATCAAAGCCAAGGGTAAATGAGCTGCAATGTAAACCCCGGGTGGGTACTTAAGGAATGTAGAGCATCCCATTCTGACAGAGAGTGTTTCATTTTAAACTAAAAAGTAGATGGGAGAAACATTTACAGATGTCTTAAAGGAAAGACAATATTTTAAGGGAAAAAAAGGAATGTCAGCCATAAGGCTGTTAATGAAGAAGCGATGATTTTGCCTAAATGGAATTCTAGACATCCCTTTTTATATCATTTCTAACACAGTTTATTCTTTGTGGGATGGGCCCTTTTAAGGAAAATGTACAAAATAAACATTTTAAATGTGAGTCTCTCATTGCTAATTCTTACCTACTGATTTCACCTTCCACTGTTTTTTTCTGTGAGGATTCTGTTGTTCACAGAACTTTCCTATTTTGGTGATCTGTCTTCATTTCTGAAGTTGTTTAATTTATCAGTTTCCACTATCATTCAGTGTTGACGCATTATTGTAATTGTTTAGGAAAAATCGAATGAAATTCTGCATAGTCCGTGATCTTTTTCCAGGAGGATGAAGAAGTTTATATATTGAATTTAGAGCAATTGAAAGTATAAAAGTAAATCATGGCTTTGAATATATTCAGCCCCAAATCATTTTTCCCAAGCTACTTTTAAAGTTTGTGTTTGCCAAAGGAAAACAAATTAACTGCTTTTCTTGCCAGTCAGGTTTCCTCTTTTGTCTTCCAAAGATTGTAAAGGAAATACAATACCACTATTTTATAGAGGTACAGGAGCTCGGAAAATTAAGAGTATACTACACTCAACATTACATTTCCACCTGAAATAAAAGGCATGTAATTGAGAATTTTCTCAAATATTTTTCATTTCTCACTTCTTTATAGCCCTAAAAAACTTCAGCTGGAAAAGCTAACACCCCTTAATCAGCATGTTATTTTAAATATTCTTAAAGGCACATTTTTTCCCCACAACTTTACAGATAATGTAGTTTTACAGGGAAAGCAGAGAAAAGGTCTTTAATTGTATTTTTAACCAAAGTAGGAAATACAGTCTGAGGCTCTAATTTGAGATTTGCTTATAAATACATTTGAAAAGGTTAACATTCTTTAAATTATTAGCAGAGGCAAATATATGAAGTGCCATGTTTTTGTCACCATCGTCTTTCCACACTGATCAAGAATTAAATTGAAAGAAACTAAACAAGACTTAAGGGTACAAAGCATGCTCCATAGTACCTGCAGATTTTGTCACTATATAAGTTCCCTGAAACAAGCTGAAATTGTCCTGCTAGTGAAAGGGGGTCTCATGATACCATTTGACTGTATTTCAGGAAAACAGTGCATGTGCTTGGTGGATCTCGATCGAGCAAGAGCTGCAGAAGAATGTGGCTACTCCGTTCAAGTGATATCCATGGAGCCAGAGAGCTGCTCTCCCAAAAATAACATGATTGTGGGAGTCCCCATTTAAAATGAGACATTCACATTTGATATTTTGCCATCCGTCTTCACGTTGGATGCCCGGTGGCATTCAGGAGGTTCTTGGCATAACTAGGAAACAGCATTAGCCATCTTGAACCTATTGTGCTCAGGAAGGAAAGCAATACGAAAATCTTGGAAGAAAGGCTCCCTGCAAAGCATCACAAATGCTCTTACAATGTATGATTAAAGGACTGCTGGTTTTCATAGTGAGAATCCCCTGAAGTCTCGGCTGCCAAAAGAATAATACCAGTGGAGGTTCCATCACAGGAATAACAATTTCCTTCTCACTTCACAAGCTCTTCTGATCTTGCCAATGTGATGTTTAATTCAAAACAGCGCACTTACAGCCTTTATTTTATACTTACTTAAATATTCACATGGGGACTGAAAGTAGACTCAGTAGAGTTTTTTTAAATATATTTTTAACAATTGTACTTTTTCTATCACTTTAAAAAAATCTAGTCAGGTAATTATAGTTATTTTTAAGCTGGGGTTAGTTGAACTTGTATAGCATTTAATATACTCCTTTTAAATATATTTCTGCCAGGCATGGTGGCTCATGCCTATAATCCCAGCACTTTGAGAGGCCAAGGTAGGAGGATCATTTGAGCCCGGGATATCGAGACCAGCCTGTGCTACAAAAAAATCAAAAAAATGAGGTGGGAGGATCACTTGAGCCCAGGAGGTCACGGCTGCAATGAGCCATGATAGCACCATGGCACTCCTGCCTGGGTGACAAAGCGAGAGCCAGACTCCCAATGAATGAATGAATGAATTTCCCATAAATTACCAGATGAGACCATCACTGGTTCAAATTATTAATAATTGCAATAAATTTCCTATTATGGGAATGTGGAATTTGAGGGTCCAGTATTTTCAGGACCTTGGCCTAGATTCTTTTCAATTCAAAGATGAGTTGCAAAAGACATAATGTTTTGCCTATGGAAGTAAATCATCTAGAAGAAAAAGATTAAAGAATTAGTTAAGCTTTTTTTTTTTTTTTTTTTTTTTTTTGTGAGACAAAGTTTCGCTCTTGTTGCGCAGGCTGGAGTGCAATGGCACGATCTTGGCTCACTACAACCTCTGCATTCTCCTGCCTCAGCCTCCCCAGTAGCTGAGATTATAGGCACCCGCCACCATGCCCGGCTAATTTTTTTTGTAATTTCAGTAGAGATCGGGTTTCTCCATGTTGGCCAGACTGGTCTCAAACTCCCAACCTCACGTGATCTACCCGCCTCGACCTCCCAAAGTGCTGGGATTACAGGCGTGAGCCCCCGCAGCTGGCCAAGTTCTTTATGTAATACTACAATGTGTTGTCACAGAATTTGTTACTCAGATATCAATCATTTTTATTGGTATATTTCTGGGTAAAACTTATTAGTGGTGTGAGGAGTGCAGAATATGGAAGCTTATTTGAATAGTTCTCTTTAAATTCTTTTTCTGCTAGCCAACATTTTAAAAGACAAATGATGCATCCTCTCTCAATGCTGCTAATTCTTTAACTTTTACATGTCTCAGTTTATTCCATATGAGATTTATTTTAATGTTTTCAACCCCTGTATAATATGTATCATGAGGAGAAAGCACTTTCATTGATCATCACTATGGATTAAAATATAGGAATATTTTACAGGGCAGTATGGGTTGGGGTGGGAGACATATTGGAATTGTGTTTTCTGGGATAAAATTTTTAAAAAGAATTAACCATTAGCCCTGAGTATTTTTAGTCATTTGTGCCTACAGATAACAACATGCTCTCTTATTCTGGACTTTCTTCTTTTAATTGAGGTTTAATTTATATACAATACAATAACAGATTTTTAAGTATTCATTTGAGATGTTTTGACAACTGTATATACACCTGCAACCATCACTGAAATCAGATATAGAATATTCCCATTAAATATTGTCAAGTAAACACATTGAGAATATTTTTTCAAGTCTGTGGCTTACCTACTTATTTTCGTAATGAATGTTTTAATTGTGATGAAGATTTAATTTACCCTTTTACTTTAATGATTAATATTTTCTGTGTCTTTTCTAATAAATTTTACCAACTCTGACGTTATAAAGATTTCTCCTAAGATTTTCTTTGTAGGAACTTTATGGTCCTAGCTTATTACATTTAGGTCTACGATCGATCTCAAATCAAACTCACATATAAAGGTAGGTAGGTTTTGAGGAATATATAGTTGTTTCAACATCATTAAATAAAAATCCCTTCCTCTCTTCATTGAACCGCCTTGGCACTTCAGTTGAAACTCAGTTGATCTGTATGTATGGTTCTATTTCTGAATTCTCTAATCTTCCATTCATCTGTTTGTTTTGATTGCTGTAGCTTTATAGTAAATCTGGAAATCAGGTAGTTTGTCTCCCAATTTTATTTTTCATTCTCTAGATTATTTTGGCTGTTCTGGATCCACTGTATCCACAGATAAATCATAGAATTGGCTTATCAATTTCTTTTTTAAATTTTACCAAAAAAGCTTGTTGGGATTTTTGGTATTGCCTGTTCTCTTCAGATTAACTTGAGGAAAATTAATGTCTTAACAAGACTGAATCTTAAAATCTATGAAGATATCTTTGCATGTGTTTAGTTCTCCTTTAATTACTCAGAAATATTTTGTAATTTTCTGTGTAGAGGATTTATTTCATTTATTATGATTTTATTTTTTTGATGTTATTACCCTGAGCTTTTTATATGGTGTTCCCCGTACTTAGAATAACCTCCTTTTACCCCTCCCACTAGCTTAATGTCATTCATCCTTCCGCTCTGAGACTTGACCTCCCTGGAATTAGGTATCTGTTATAAAATGTCTACCATCCAGACTAGTCTTCTCAGTCCTCCCGAGGTGACTCAAGGTACATCCCACCCCCACCACCAAAAACAGAAAGCCTATCTGATAAGTATGGAGAAGAAAAATGAAAGGGGAGTCGGGCGTGGTAGCTCGTGCCTATAATCTCATCAATTTGGGATGCTGAGGCAGGTGGATCACTTGAGGTCAGGAGTTTGAGACTAGTCTGACTAACATCGTGAAACCCTGTCTCTACTAAAAATACAAAAATAAGCCTGGTGGTGGTTGCATATGCCTGTAATCCCAGCTACTAGGGAGGCTAAGGCAGGAGAATCGCTTAAACCTGGGAGGCGGAAGTTGTGGTGAGCTGAGATTGTGCCACTGCACTCCAATCTGGGTGACAGAGTGAGACCCTGTCTCAGAAAAATTGAAAGGGGACCCCATTGCTCTCCCACCCTTGTTCTTGGCGTGGCATTCTCCTGTTGTGATGGCTGTGGTTAGTAAGAGATACGGATATTGTGATTGCTCTTCAGGCATTGTTTTTCTATGTAAATCCTTGCCAATGTTTCTTCCCAGCCAGAATTAGAAGAGTTGGATGCAGGGAGCAGGAAGATTGTTGCAATGATAAAAGCCCAACAAGTGACCTGATCTTACCCTCGCCTTTTTCCATCAAAAGTCAGGCTACTGCTCACTGATCTATCTCTCCCAAGGCTGTAATAATATTAGAAACCACAGCTCATCTTTCATTGACTTTTGAGCCTGACTCAGAAACAGAGGTATAATTATTAATGGCTAAACTACTTTATCTTATCTTAGGAGACACATTTCAGTCATATTAGATATCAAAACATTTTCAGGGCACATATGCAAGATAATATGTAAATAACACTAATTAAACATTTAGTTTCATTCTACAGATTTTGGCTACAGGATTTGCCCATTCCATGCTTCAAGAAAATTGCTATTAATAGAGCTTTCACATACTGAAACCTGTTTTTCTACTGACTTTCATGATGAAAATATTTTTTCATCATGAAAAAATGTTTCTGTAAAGAGATGTTTCTGTAAAGTGATATGAAATTATAATAAAGTGATAATTTTTAAATGACAATTTTTTTAAAGAATACAAAAGTAGTTTGGAATTTTTTAATACACTTTTTTTCTTTTTGAGACAGGGTCTCACTCTGTCACCCAGGTGAACATGGCTCACTGCAGCCTCCACCTCCCTGAGCTCAAGCAATCCTCCCACCTCAGCCTCCAGAGCAGCAGGGACTACAGGCACATGCCACCATGTCCAGCTAATTTTTGTATTTTTTTGTAGAGATGATGTTTCATTATGTTGCCCAGGCTGGTTTCAAACACCTGGGCTCAAGCAGTCCTCCCACCTCAGCCTCTCAATGTGCTGGGATTACAGGTGTGAGCCACTGTAACTGGCCAAATACACATTTTTAATTACAAAGAAATACATATTTGTTGTAGAAAAGGTGTGGCTAAACAAAAAGAAGAAAATTCTTAAATTCACGATGTTAATACTTTGTTGTATGCCTCCTAGACTTTTTCTAATAGACAACACACATACATATACACACACATTTGTTTTTATTCATTTTTCATTTTATAGAGATAGGAGTCTCACCATGTTGCCCACACTGGTCTTGAACTCCTGGGCTCAGGCAATCCTCCCACCTTGGCCTCCCAAAGTGCTGGGATTACAAGCATTAGCCACCTCACCTGGCCCACTCAGATTTATTTAACCAACATTCACACAGTACTTAATATTTGCTGGGCACTATTCTAAACCCTTTACAAATAACTCATTTAGTCTTTTATTAAGTCACTTTTTCCCCGTAATGACCCTATGAGCTAGACATCATTAAAAATCCTATTTTGCAGGAACTGAGGCTAAGTTTACACAAGAAATGCAGACCTGAATTTGAACTCAGCCAGTAATTGGTAGAACTAATATTCAAATTCAGGCTATTTAGCCATCTGATCAGTATTGGCTGGGATAAACTATGATAACAAAATCTCTATGTCTTTACCCAAGAAGGATGTATTTTTCACTCATACCACATATCTGTCCAAATTGCTATGACTACTTTACATTATCATCATACCATGACTTAGCCTGACTAGTTAGCCTCTGCTAGGAACATAACTGGTCTCCTGGCAAGGGAAAAATTGGCATGGCAAACTACCAGCTAGTTATTGGAGATTCAGCTCAGATGTGATACACATTACTTTCCTTATTTTGTTGGCTAAAGTGAGTTATATAGTGCCTCCTGATATTAATGGGGTGGGAATATATAGCTTTATATAATAATATGACATGCCACCCACAATGTAGTTGAAGGAAGAAAGGGAAGGAGA